GTTGTATTGGAACCTAATATATGCCTAAAGGAGCTGTATGTCAATATTAGTTTTTCTTATAACTTAGCGGGGCTTATGAACCCTATGCTTTTGCTTTTCTTAGGTAGAGAGGTGGGCGAAGCAATATATTGCCTCAACTGGTGAGGGCAAGCCCAAGAGAAATCCGAAGATGTTTGAGCTGATTGATTGGTTACAGCAGAACATTCCTCTTGAAGATTCTTCTGGGACAGCAGCGGGCTTAGTTCATGGGGACTTTCGCATTGATAATCTTGTGTTTCATCCTATTGAGGTTTGGTACTTCGAGAGACCTTATTCATTTCAGTGCTTAAGTGGAGATACCCATATACATGCTTGTTTGTGTTCTTGAAGTCAAATATAGAGAACTTTTCCTAATCAATCTGCTTCTTATCTGGACTCAAATCTTTTGAGGATTATGCATTTCAGTCATCAAAAGTTATGTTCAGTGACAAAATACAAACTCTCTCTGAATAACTCTTACTGTGCAGGATCAAGTGATTGGCATTCTTGACTGGGAATTATCTACTCTTGGAAATCAAATGTGTGATGTTGCTTATAGCTGTTTGGTACTTGACCAAGTTTCAAACTTAACCGTCTGGCTTGTGGATAGTTGAATAATGTATTATCATGGGCATTTTCCGCTTTAATAATTTAATAATTTAATTACTACTTTAAATCCTTTGCAGCCTTACATCGTGGACATCGGGGCTGAAGTTGGTGAAGGTTTGGAACACACGGGGGTTCCAGAAGGGATTCCTTCTCAGGCAGAGTATGTAGCAGAATACTGTTCTTCATCAGTAAGTCAGTAGTACAATAGCATTGAATGAACAGTGATGCATGTGCTCATTTTCTTAGTCTAATTTACACTTTCTTTTTTTGGTAATTTATGTCTATGAGAATTTTAGCCTGCATAAGTGGTTGTCAAAGGCGTTAAGAATAATATAGATGGGTGTTAATGCAGATACTTGCCCGATAGATAGCTCCTTTGGGTAGTTTATTTTCTGTTTTTGATTAATTATATTCAGTTACAATGCAAATGCGGCAATGCAGGGAAAGCCATGGCCTTTTGCTGAGTGGAAGTTCTATGTTGCCTTCTCCTTATTTCGAGGGGCATCAATTTTTGCAGGGATATATAGTAGATGGATTATGGTAACTTCTGAAACAATTGTTTGACATTGAATTTTTAGTTCAGTGCAAAACACTTTCGTCAAGGGATGATGGAAAAAACAGTAGTTAAGTGGTAGGTTCCTTACAATGCAGGGTAATGCTTCTGGAGGAGAGAGTGCCCAGCATGCTGGGGATAGAGCTAATTTTATTATAGACTATGCATGGAAATTTATTCGACAAGAATCTGTGCTTCCCAAGAATCCTCCGTCAGGTACTATGCCATCTAACAATTTTGTGTTCCTTGAAATACATGTTTTCTTTATATGGATCAATTATTTTTCTCAATTTTCAAACATAATGGCTTGCAAGAGTATTGACATACCAAATTGTGGCCTAAGGTGCTTCCCTTGCTCAAGACTACTCGAAAAGATTTGGACAAGAGAGTGATGATCAAGGATTTTCAAAAGGGGGAGGGAGGTTTGTCCCCAGTAAAAGGATTTCAGAATTGAGAAACAGGTTGATAAAGTTCATGGAAGATCACATTTATCCCATGGAACAAGAATTCAACAAACTTGCTGAGTCTAGCTCACGTTGGACGGTTCATCCAGGGGAGGAGAGGTTAAAGGAGCTAGCAAAGAAAGAAGGCCTCTGGAACTTATTTATACCTGTATGTGTTTGCTGTTCATTTTTCCAAGTTTGGAAACTAATTTATTGTATAATGCAGAATAATTTTCTTTCCAGTGGACATAACTGGTTTCTACCTTTGTACTTGTGTGAAGTTTGACAGTGCTGCCAGGGCCAGAAAATTAATTTTTGATGGAAGCAATCATCTTTTATCAGAGAATTCCTCCAATCACTTATTGGGCGCAGGTCTTTCAAACCTTGAATACGGATATCTTTGTGAGATCATGGGTCGTTCAGTTTGGGCTCCACAAGTGTTCAATTGTGGTGCACCTGACACGGGAAATATGGAGGTATGAAAGTTTTTAGATTACGAACTGCTTACGAATGATGAACCAGTGGTACCACCATTTTTCTATCTGGAAAAGCATCTCGTGATCCTAATGAGGTCATTGTCTAGAGGATGATTTGGGAAAAGATTAATAAGTGCTTTCCTTTTTGGGATTGCTTTGTTTAATGATATGCAGATGAACATATTTTAATAGTGCAACGGTTAAACTTTATATACTCTCTTGTGAAACATGTCTGGCCTTTTGCATGATATATTGATCTGTTCTACACTTAACTTTTGCATTAGGTATTGTTGCGCTATGGCAGCAAGGAGCAGCTACTTGAATGGCTTGTTCCTTTGCTTGAGGGGAAAATTCGGTCAGGATTCGCAATGACGGAACCCCAAGTTGCATCCTCTGATGCGACCAATATCGAGTGTTCTATTAAAAGGTGAGTTTATGCAGCATCTATGGTGATGGCAGTGTCCTCTTTCTCAAAATCATTGAATTTTACACAGCAGCATTCATGAAATTATACAGGAAATGCATCTTGAATCACAACATTTTCATCCAAGCTTCTTCACAGATATTGGCAATCACTGGATGTGTTATATTCCATTTCCTTCAAGTTTCCTCTAGATATATATTTAATATTTTATATTGGCTCTGAATTGCATGTACAGAGAAGGAGATTCATATATCATCAACGGAAAGAAATGGTGGACAAGTGGTGCTATGGATCCAAGGTGTAGAGTTCTTATAGTCATGGTTAGTTCTTGTATGCCATTTAATTACTCGTTCAATTCATTGTTAATTTTATTAATGAAGGTTATCGAATACTATGTAGGGGAAAACCGACTTCAATGCTTCCATGCATAAGCAGCAATCTATGATCTTAGTGGATATCCAAACTCCAGGTGTACACATAAAGAGACCACTTACAGTTTTTGGCTTTGATGATGCACCTCATGGGCATGCAGAAGTATTATTTGAGAATGTACGTGTCCCAGCAAAAAATATTCTACTTGGAGAAGGACGTGGGTTTGAAATCGCACAGGTATTGTACTTCATTGCTCTTTGATCAGCTCCAGTGTCCTGTTAGGATCTTATGGCATTTGTAGCACCACATGCTGATGTGACCGTGAATTAGTTTCATTTCTGAGATGTCTTTCTGGAATTAACTGATGATTCTTAGTTTCAAATCATATGTGGCCAGAGCTTGTTGGTTTTGTGACTGAACGTATCCTAGATTCACTCTGCAGAATCTTCTAATTGCTTTAGTTATTGACGATAACTTAAAATTCTTGCAGGGTAGACTAGGCCCAGGAAGGTTACACCATTGCATGAGGCTGATAGGAGCTGCCGAGCGTGGCATCTGGCTAATGGCTCAAAGGGCTCTTAGTAGAAAAGTTTTTGGGAAGTTGATTGCTGAACAAGGCTCATTTCTTTCAGATATTGCAAAGGTAATGATGATTTTGCCCCCTTTAATAGCGTACCTGAGAAACTTTTGTTTCTACAAAGAGAGACTAATCAAATCAGACTTCAAGTCTTTCCAGCCATTTAGATGATTTAAGAAGTGATCCGATTTGAATTTTTAGATTCATCTCTTGGACACTTGTAATGAGAATGTCGGCACTCTTTCTTAATCGGCTTTCTGTCTTTCAGTGTCGAATTGAGCTAGAGAAAGCCAGATTGTTGGTTCTGGAGGCAGCTGACCAGCTCGATAGACTTGGAAACAAAAAGGCCCGAGGAACCATAGCAATGGCAAAGGTACGTACAGTTTGTAGAATCTTAACTGGGTGTGGGGCAAGAGTTTGGTGTAGTGTTCTTTTAACTCTCAATCAGAATGCGTGTATATACACCGAATATGCACTTCTCTCTAAATTTGTGTCATTTGGAGCAGGTAGCGGCCCCAAACATGGCGCTAATGGTGCTCGACATGGCAATGCAAGTGCACGGTGGCGCTGGCTTGTCTTCCGACACTTGTCTGGCACATCTTTGGGCCACGGCAAGAACATTGAGAATCGCAGATGGTCCAGATGAAGTCCACTTGGGTACTATCGCCAAGTTAGAACTACGGAGAGCCAAACTCTGAATCTTTCAGACCAAGCTTTCAACAAAACAAGAACTTTTCTTCTTACATAGTCGAGTGAGTGCAAGTCGCGTGCTTCACCCGAAAACGCTTTTCCCCAAGTTATTATAACGACTAAAGTTATTATAAAAGTTGTTGAAATTTGATTCAACAACTACAAACAGTGGCATATTTTAAAAGTTATAACATTGAAGTAAATGTTATGAATTTACTTTTACCAGTCGATAAAACAGCATCATCTACATGTACAAAATCATTTCCTTTTTTCTCAAAGCACGTAAAAGAATCATCTATATATCAAGAAAGGTAAAAGTAAACACAATTTATTAATGGCAATTGAGAGGTCTTAGTGGTATTCTTTTTCAGGTAAGTACCCATCTTTGGAAGATAAATTATACGTACAAAAGGTATCTAGGGTATCTGCTAAACTTAATTAAGCAGGTTAATCAAAATCTCAAATATCTGAACAAAATGTGTACGTGTTAATTTTATCGAATTGCGTCCCAACTTTATGTATTAACTAGCTAGCTAAATGAAATTTTCTGGTAACACTACGGCAGTGCACGATTAATGGAGATGCGGAGTTAAATATTATCACTCATTAATCTGAGAAAAAAGTGGATCACGAACTCGGACAATATAGTTAGACACCAATTAGTCATTACCAAGTGCTATTAAGTTACCCTAATTTGGACATTATCCAATTTTAGAAAGCATGATTAACGACCATTAATTTTGTCTGGACTGGAGACTGATCAGTGACCTCCCACGCACCTAACAGAAATAACTTGCGCTCAGAAATTTGTGGTCTAGGGCTCCCTATAAATTCCATCACCATCCCACCATTCCAAACCAGACCAGAGCCAAAGGGGCACCAGACCCTTCCTCCAACAAGAGAAGCCCCGGCAGCGCTCTGTAGCTCACCGGAGAAAGAAGAAAAATTCATCAAAAAAGAAAGAAACACACACCTTTCTGCTTCAATTGATTATTTTTCTTTCTCGATCACAACTGTTACTAGCAAAGAAGATGGCAGCTAGTCAAGCAAAGAAGAAGAAGATAGCCGTCATCATCGTATCGGTTGTACTTCTGGTGGCGATGCTAGTGGCGGTGATAGTGGGTGTCAAAATGGCCAAAAAAGGCGGCAACAAGAAGGCTCCAAAGGTTGGCAAGTCGAAAAAGGCCATCGAGACCATATGCCAACCCACAACCTACAAAGAAACCTGCCAGAGCAGCCTCGAGAAGGTGGCGGGTGACAGCACCGAGGCCAAGGACCTGATCAAGGCCGGGATCCAGGTGGCGGAAGACAAAGTTAACGAGGCGATCAAGAACTCGGACACCTTGAAAGAGCTTGCCAAGGATCCAATGGCCAGCCAGGCTTTGGACGTGTGCAAGCAACTGTTGGACACCGCAGTTGAGGATCTCCACGGTGCGGTGGATAAGATGGGGTCATTCGATCCTAACAAGACCGATGACTACCTTGAAGATCTCAAGGTGTGGCTGAGCGCCGCCGTCAATCACCAGGCAACCTGCCTTGACGCGTTTAAGGACACCAAGGGCGAGGCTGGTGAGAAAATGAAGGGCTTTTTGAAGACAGCGCAAGAACTCACCAGCAATGGACTTGCCATGGTCTCCGAAATCTCTGGTCTCGTCGGATCTCTTCACTTGAACTCTCACCGCCGCCTCCTGTCCTCGTCAAATGGCGGTCCGAAAAAGTGGCATGATAAGACAGTGCCAGGGTGGATGAGTGATCGCAAGCTTGATCTCTTGACTGCCACTCCGCAGAGCCTGAAGCCCGACGTGGTTGTGGCTCAAGATGGGACAGGCAAGTACAAGACCATCAACGAGGCCTTGAAGGAGGTCCCACCGAATAGCAAGAAGACCTTTGTGATTTATATTAAGGGGGGAGTGTACAAAGAGATTGTCGTCGTTAACAAGCAAATGACCAATGTTGTGATGATTGGTGACGGCCCAACCAAGACCAGGATCAGCGGAGGCTTGAACAAGGCGGATGGTGTCTCTACCGAGAACACCGCAACCTTTGGTACGTAACGCTTAACATATTCATGCACCGAATTTTTTTGGGGGGAAATTCATGCACCAAATTGTTCACAGACGATGTTGCAGTACCAAAAAATAAAAATAAAAATTCAAACAATATCCACTAACGCGATACAGCGGTAGGAAAAAATTACAAAGATAATTAAACTTGTTTGGTACTCTACTTGAATTTAACTTTTTAACTCAAAAATACTTTTCAAGTTCAAGTCTTAAAAATTTGTTTGGTAAGACTATTTTCAAGAATTGAACTTAAGATTAACTTAAGAAAATAGACTATTATCTCAAAACACAAGAAGTGAGTTTTAAAGTTTTTAAACTTAAAACTCAATTATTTCTTTTCTCTCTCACCCCTCATCTCTCACTCCGAATCGATTTATCTTTTTCATTCTTTCTCTCCTCTCTTTTTCTTCTCTCTCTTCTCCTTCTTTTGTTCTCCTCCTTCTCTCCCTCTCCTTCCTTCTCACTTCATTCTCTCTCTTCTTCTCTTCTTTCTTCTCTCTCCCCTCCTTATCTTTTTCTCCTCCGATCATCTCTCTTCTCTGATCCTCTCTTTCTTTCTTTCCACCTCTCTCCTCTTTCTCCCTCTCTTTAGATCTCTTTATCCAGTTTAAATTTTAAGATTTAAGAAAATTTTCATACCAAACCAGTTTTTGAATGTTAAAAAAAATTATTTTTAAGAAATGTTCTTAAGAAATGTTTTGAGAAATGATGAATTTTCTTTAATAGTATACCAAACAGGCCTTTAGTAACCCGGCCTAGTTGTCACATTAATTAATTTATAATGGTTACTTTAGAGTTGAAGGGGTTGAATTGTGATTAGCTATGCATTCTAACTCTACCTCATTTTCTCACCCTCTTTTTTCACTTCGTTCCTACAGCCGCACTTGGAAACTATTTCATTGCCAAGGGAATAGGGTTCGAGAACACAGCAGGATACATAAAGCACCAAGCTGTCGCATTGCGTGTGCAATCCGACTTCTCCATCTTCTACAACTGCCACATGGATGGATTCCAAGACACCCTCTACACCGAAGCCTACCGCCAATTCTACCGCGACTGCACCATCACTGGCACCATAGACTTCATCTTCGGCGATGGGGTGACTTTGTTCCAAAACTGCAAGATGATGGTGAGAAAACCAGCGGAAGGACAGTCTTGCATGGTGACAGCACAAGGCAGGACCGACCACAACGAGATCACCGGCATGTTCCTCCAAAACTGCACTATCACCGGTGAGCCGGACTATATGAATGTGAAGGAAAAGAGCAAGGCATATTTGGGGAGGCCATGGAAAGACTTTGCAAGGGTGATTGTGATGCAGTCATCCATTGACGAAGCCATTGTACCTGAAGGGTGGTCAGAATGGGTTGGTAAAAAAACCAACCAAACCTGCTTCTTTGGTGAGTACGGCAACCGGGGTCCTAGGGCTGACATGACCAAAAGGGTCAGATGGCCGACCGTCAAGGCGCTCACTTCTGATAAAGTCGCGGCTTTCACCCCTGCTAAGGTGTTTCTAGGTGTTGATTGGCTGAAGCCCAGTGGGGTTCCATATGTTCCTGGCATGATGTCCGTGTAGATCCCAAATGAAAAGCTTGGGACACCAATTTTTTCATATAATGTTACAAGGCCAATGTTTCATGTATAAAAAAAAAAAAAACAAATTAGTGATATTGTCTTGTGATTTTGCGGAATACCTTTTTCATTCCAATTACACATACGAATCGAGTTATGAAATTAATTTTTTTATAGAGATGATAGATAAAACCGTTTTTGAGATTCTAGAGATTTTGTGAATAATTATGTATGAGATCATTTTTAATAGTATTAAAAAAATATATCAAGAAATTTATTTTTGGACAAGTATTAATGCCATAAAGCAAAACCTATAACAACAATTGAAGCAAACTTTAAAACACATTGATTTTCAATCAACAAAACTTATCATCACTTTTGCAAAATATCATTAGATAACAAGTAACAACCAAAAGAACTTCAAACTAAAAACCAGCATCAAATAACTAACACTCAATGAGGTGACCTTCTGAGTCTTCCCTTCTGAATCTGTCACTGTCCTTGCATTTAATGCATCGAAATGCAGATTGGACTTACTAGTGGTCCCTCCATTGGGGCGACATGTGGCAATGAGGTGACTTCCGTAAGCCTACTTGTGTCATGACACGGCCGAGTACCATGCTTGGTTTGCAAGTTGGTGAGCGTCTCATCTATCAGTGTTTCTGACCTTTCATGGATTCTTGTTCCCTCATTTGGCCATGACGCATATAAGGTTGTCGCCTGAATAGACTGGTCGGTCCTTCTCTTGGGGTATTGTGTCCACAAGCTGTCATAAGTTATTCCATTCCTTGGTGCTCGAACAATATTGTTGAAACCAAATTTGCGCACTGCCACGGATGGTGGAGGCACAAATCCTAACAATTTGTAAAATAGAGAATAATTGTGAGCAAGCCTAAGACTAGGGAATGGGGATGTGCCGACCAAAGACTATTCGACAGTTAAGTTAGAAAGCAAGTTTTAAGACTCAAACAGTGGACAAAAGAATTACAGTACAGAGATTGCATTACCAATGAGCAACCCTAGATGAGCGTATTTAAGAGAAACTTTTTTAGGATAAAATTCTCGTTCTAAGCTGGGAGAATCTTATAGGATATCTAGAAGTAGATATTGCACCTTTTTAGAAATTGTGATTATTTGCGGCGTATGTCAATTCCTAGATTATAGGAACTCCAAGACTCATAACATTTTTCACAAATTTTACAGATATTGTGTCTTGCAGAGCAAGCATGGTCATTCTAGCAAAGTCGTTTGGACTTCACCTTATAGTCCCGGAACAGGATAATGGTGGCATCATTGCTCTGTCTGATCCAGTTCCGCTTGGAACTGTTGAGTCCATGACTAAACTTCTGAGGTAAGTATTCCGATCAACCTTACTCCAACCCTAAAAAATAATGGTCCATAATTACCCCTAAATATTTATCTGAAAGGTAACATGTTCCCCTTAAAGATGAATAGTTAACCAAAGACCATGCTTTTCGAAATAAGTTGGGATACGTACCGTTTAGTCTTCTTTCTTTGTGTGATAATCCAATTCCTTGGGGCGTAGTGTGGACGTTTTGGATTCAGACGTGTGGTCTTGAGTGTCATGCCATAAAGTTTGGAATGATAATGAGTGTTGTGTGGGCATATTCCGCCAGAGGAGGCCATTCATACCTTTGGGTGACATTGATCTTCATATGCACAAATCTCAAGGTAAATAATGTTTCATATTCGACTGCGAGATCCTTAGGTACTTTGTCTTTAAATACACCTTTCATGGCAAGGTTTCTTCAGATTTTCTTTCCCTCTGTCTACACCATGAAGCCTCATCATTTACTTCATGATCTTTTTTTTTAACCCAGTTTTCTCTTTGAGCCTTCAATGTTTAGGATCCTAAAACCAGAAAGAAACATTTCCTGCCTTCTGGCCATAACATGTAGGGACAATATTTATATATCCAAACAAGGATTTACTTGTTAGAAAATGATAGGAAACATTGATACTAGTTGTCAGTGTTTTTCCATGGAAACGTTATTGTTAGAGGAACACACTTTTTTAATATTACTCCTCCTTTCGTTTGATTTTACAATAGTCTAACTACATTTTACACCCTTCTCGTTTGAGGTGGTTTTCAAAATGGACCATGATGTTCAAATTTTGTCATATTACACATTTTAAGTTTTGAAATTGTATCAATTTACACCTTCTGTCTCTTCAAATATCTAATCTTCCATTTTTTTAGTACAATGATATATTTTATACTAAGGGGAGGGAAAATTTGACTAAGCCACACAATGGGTAACCTAATTTGGTATCAAATTCGCTATTCACGAGATTCAAACTTTTTTTTACAAAGTGGTACTAATGTGGCTTATATGTTAGCCTATATAAAGATCTCATGCTCATAAGTCATCAACTTAATTAAAGACCAAACAGTCAATCTGACCAATGGCACTACGAAAAAACTTGTTAAATGCAACGCTAAAATCTTGTCATGTAAAACCATGAAAACGTCACAATTGCGTTTTACCGATGGCCATGCGACACTTGTGTTTGCATCGCAACAAACCTGTGTCGTAAAAGTTTTCCCTTCTTATTGCGACACATTGTTAGCATCGCAAAGTTATTTTGTGACAGCTCTGTGACACAAAATTAATGTCGCAATTGCTTTGATGTGGAATTAAACAAAATATTTGGGACATGTTTGATCCGTAGTAAATGTTTAAACCCTACAATTTAGTTTTGTTGGAATACAAACATGTTGGGGAAATTAAATTTTCTATGAAAGCATTAAACTACAATTTTTAATCTTATACACAATCGTGCTAATATCAAAAGTAAATAATATATGCACGAAAAAAATTGTGCTTTATAATTGCTAACATTAAAAATACATCATCCATATATCCTAATTTATAATCCTACTAAAGAGTCAAATGTCAATTACGAAAAATCTTGTCCCAAAATTGCATGAACATATTCTTTATTCCAAACCTCAAGGCCGTAAAATGTAGCTAACCCTTTTATATTTCATAAGCATCAAGTTTTTTTTTTCTTTTTTGTTAAACGTTGTCACAGTTGTTTTTAGTTTTAAGATTTATCAAGCTCTTATAAAAGCAGTACCAAGAAGCCCATCATAATTGGGTTCACGCAATATATGAAGTCCAAAGTTCCTTTCTTTTTACCCCCTTGGGATGAGTGGTGGAAAAAGAGAGGTGGGCCCCCTTTTATTTAGTTTTAATTTAATCATTTGTTTAAAATAAAAACTAATAAAAAGAACTTGAAAACTTTGAGTTTTAACGATAAGAACAAAATTGTTTAAATTGTTTTTTGATAATCAATTATTTTTCATATGCTACGTCATCAAATATGTGGGTCATGCATTTATCACGTCATCATTTAATGGTCAAATTAACCGTTTAACTAACTGACGTATTAAATTGTAACAAAATATAAGTTTGTGTATGAGATTGAAATATTTTAAAAATGTTGTATGAGGTTGCAATTGCACCCAAACCCGAAGGAGCAAAATGTCATTTACTCTTGTTTTAGTTTTAAGATTTATCAAGCTTTTATAAAAGCAGTACCAAGAAGCCCATCATAATTGGGTTCACGCAGTATATGAAGTCCAAAGTTCATTTCTTTTGGTCACCTAATGACGAATAAGGATTTATGGTCACTTATCTTTGAATTTGATGGTAAAAGTTGAGATAAAAACACTAGAAGCATATTCATTTGTTTCCCATCCTTTGATATCAAATCCAAAAGTGGGTGAACATGGCAAGGGAACACTTCTTATGAAATTCATAACCATGTCTTGTACAAATAGCAAGATTCTAAAATGGGTTAGGCGCTAGTAGAGCGGCTGGCTAGGACCTAGTGCCCTGGCAGTTTTTTTTTTTTTTTTTTTAATAAAATTTTATTATATAACATATAAATAAATGTCTATTTATATTCAAAAATATATATCAATATTGGAATACATAATTGCAAAATCAGTGACATATAGCTTATAAAGTTTAGAACATATTTAAAACATGGAGAATAAACATATACTGAGTGTTCAGCTAAATATTCAATAAGTTTCTTACAATTTTTTTTTTTTATAAATAAAATGCAAAATGAAAATTATCTATTTTTTCTATGTAAGTGGGAGTTGTGACCTATGTGGGTTTAGGTGGGCTAGGCAAGTCTACGCGTCATTCTTAATTTTCAAACGTCTAAAAATTAATCGAGAAGGAGACCATCCTCCTAGTCTAGGCGGGACATATGCAGTGCTAAGCTGAAATGTGTAGAACAGTGACAAATAGGTATATGAACAATGTAAAGCGAGTTAAATGGTCAAACTCTCAACCCATATATAACGTTCTATTCAATTTAATTTTCACAAACATAAGTATAATGGTTTGTGAACTTTACACGAAAACCACTTAAATATAAAATAAATTCATTGTTGTTGCATCCAAATTCATTATTTTCATTCCTTCCATCATTGAATTCTTACCATAATTTAAAATATAAAAAAATACTCATATATTTGTAACTATACAATAAAATAAAATAAATAAAAAAATAGGCATCGCATGTCGTCGGATAATTTGTCAAGTCGTGAAACTTTACTGGCAGTTGGCAGATAATTTTGGCATCGCATGTCGTCCGATACTTCGGCATGCGCCTATAACAATTAGCATGTCACATCGTCGGATAATTTGGCATGTTGAAAATTGAGTGGTAGTTGATGGAAGATAATTTGAAATGCTACATTAATTCTAGCCAGGCACTGGTAATCCACTTTTGAAGGAGCCACTGTTAAGCATTGCCAATCATCTGTATGCTCCAAATTTGGAAGAAAAAAGTAAGAACAAGAACGACCCCTAGTTTTGTCATGAGTCGAGACCAATGATCTCCCCACCTCACATTTTCTAACAGAAATAACCGTCATTCGGAGCTCCTGTCTTTATAAATACCTCCATGACACCACTTTGGGAAGCAGGGGGCACAAAAAGTAAGTATTATCCAGTACACCCAATAAGTGACCCCAACAGCTCTGCAGCAACTCACCTGAATAAGAAATCTTACTGGTTTCATTTTCACCACCAGAATCTACAGAAAATAAATATTAGTTAGATTTTTAGCTATTTATATATATTATTCCAAACATGGGCGGAGCAGACGGATCTAACAAAAAAAAAGTCGCCATC